GTTCCTCTATGAGCCTGGGCTCTGCAGTGACTTGGTTTATGACTCTGTGCTTTGCATATCGAAACGGTGTCCACACAAATTTATGAAAGGGCTGGGAGCCTTACCCAGAATGCACCTCCACAGGAACTGTAACAAACAACACACAGATGTAAGCTCATATAACAACTGAACAGAAGTGTGACAAAGCTGTACCAGGAATACTAAAGGTGCAGACATAAACACAGCACAGAGTTGCCACAGCAATGAGTCACTACAGTCAGAACTGTTGGATCAGTAGAGATAAATCAGATGGAATTGATTAGTATCGGCCATCGGGTCATCAGGAGACTCGAGTGGCACAACAACAGGCCAGTCCAAGTATAAAAACCTGGGCTTCTTCTACTGAGGCGTGGAAACAGATCATTTCCTGTCCTTAAAGGGAAGTGCGTCTGCTATAGGACCACCTCACTCACTCACCTGCAGATGTGCGTTTGCCAGTCGATGCCTCCTCATACACCAGCCAGCTGTGACACAAGCATGATATGTCCACCTGAAGCTCGATTTGTGTCTGCACTTCACTGCTCTGTATTAGTGTGATGTTCTTCTTATCTGTCTCATTCAAAAGGACGTTTTTGTAGGTGTGTTAAGTCTGAGTACCGATGTCCTGTATGCCTGCTTGTGTTTGTCTAGACTTGTGTTATGTAAAGGAATAGTCCAGCATTTTGGAAATTTTGTTTTGGAAGATTGATGCCACGCTCACATGTGCATGCTAAATATGAAGCTAAAACCAGAAGATGGGTGGTTTAGCCCCACATAAAGGGAGGAAATGGAGAAAACCGCTAGCCTGCTAATGTTCACAAAGTTCAGTTTTGCCAGATGAGACTTTATTCCTTCAGAACCTTGAGCTTCTGATTTTACATCGGCTCTATAGGTTTCATTTGTTTAATCTGTACAACAGACAACAGTTACATGACAGTTTTGTGGTTTCACTGGGCGTCACGTGTGGAACTATTTATTGGATGGATACAGTAACGTCCTGGAACGTAACACCCAACCACAACATGCCATTTTTATATTTCTAAGGACAGAGCCAGGCTAGCCGTTTCCCCATTTCCAGTCTTTATGCTAAGCTAAGCAACTGCTAGGTATAGCTCCATTTAGCATAAAACGCTCAACAAGAAACCATATAAGCACATTTTCCAAAGTGTCAGATTATTCCCAGCCTATGAACTGTCTCCGGTTGTGTTAACTTGATGCTTCAGGGTTTTCTTCATGTACAGTTTTATGTGTTTTTGGGTAGCTTCTTAAAGGTTCTTGAGGAAGGAAGAAAAAAAAAACATGCTTTGTAAGTTGATGTGCTTTTACTCTGTTCCAAAGACTGCAGCTTTAGCATCGACTAGCTAACATGTCAACTGTGAGGAAGGCCTTTTCTGAGACCTGGTTCCAATGCAGAAAGCTGTGCTAAGCTTGGAAAGGAGAAGAGAAGCGAAGCTCGTCTGTGATTCCTCCTTAACAGTTAGAGAGAAGGCTCGTGCACATTTGACTTAAAGGTTTTACTGAACTGCCTTTTCGTGAAGTGAACAGAACAAATCAACTTCTGTGTGAAGCTTTTATTGTTGTGCTGCGTTCATGTCCGGTGGGAATAACAGTCTTCTGACAGCTCAGTCCAACCTGGAAAAGATTCCCACCTATCAAAACTTGTTTTAAACCACAAAGAGATTATGAGTGATTGCTGCTGCACATTTTAATCATTCTCTTCTTGAATAAATCCTTTCAACATTTTCACATTTGACTCATGAGAAGTGACTTTTTTGAGATGATGTCTGAAATGAGCACAGCCAGTCCTGCCCTGTTAGTATACAGTATTGTCAAACTTATGATTGCTCAGTTTGGGTTGTTTAACGTGAAATATGTGTTTGTTCGTGAGCTCAGATACTAAATGCTAGTAACCTAGAGGAATCAGGTCCATTGCCCTGTTCCCAAGCAGCCTTTAACACTTAAATCTGCCATATGACAGCGACTGTTTTCCACATGACATGAACGTGGCATCATACATCGGGCAGCGGGAACTGAACAATGTAGCTCCGTGCTCCCCAACCCTGTATCACTGTGATGATGAGGGGGGTGAAATGGGACTGATGTCTTTTCAGTCCAGCTTTTTTCTTCTACTGTTGGTGGCCCTTCAAAAGCCAAACATGTCGATTTTTGAAGGCACCTTCACCTTTCTGAGTAACACTGAAGTGACTAGTTATGAGTTTTCCATAACATTTTTTTTTTTCCAATGAAAAAATAAATTTTTGTTTTTCTATGATTGTTCTTGAGTTTCTGTTTCCTAACATGTCATCTGTTATGCCGAATATTATCCAGTGGCCCGACTATGTAATGCAGGGACGGGGCTGATTTACTGTAATGATGGAATTCATACAGAACATGCATGTAAATGACAGAGCATTAGTCAGAGTACTGAAGTATCATCTAATTTTATGTAAAATAAGAGTAACTAATAGCTGTACTTGTCAAATACATTTAGTAAAATGTACAGTATTTCAAATGTCAACTTTAAAGTAAATTGGAAATTCTTAAGTAAAGGGCAAGCAAACTACCTCAAACTTATACTTGTATACAGTATACAACTACCACTAATGCTTATATATTAACAGCTAGTTTTACACACTATTGCAGCTATTTTATGTTTCAGTTAAGGCACAGCATATCACTCCAGTTCTTGCCTCACTACATTGGCTTCCTGTTCGTTTTAGGATTGATTTTAAATTGTTGATGTTTGTCTATAAGGCTGTACATGGTCTGGCACCTTCATATATTTCTGAGCTTGTGTGTTTTTATACTCCAGAAAGGACACTTAGGTCTTCGAACCAGTTGTTCCTGGAAGTGCCGAAGTCCAGACAGAAACATTGGGGAGACCGGGCTTTTTCAGTTCGGGCTCCTATACTGTGGAATGGTCTGCCACAGGAGATTAGATCTGCTCCAAACCTGACTGTTTTTAGATCACTTCTCAAAACACATTTGTATTCACGGGCCTTTGACAATTTTATTGATTGATGTATTTGTTTTGACTATGCATTTGTGTTATTTTATTGTGAAAATGTGTTTTATCTGGTTTTATGTATTTTTTATTATTTTTTATGTTTTACTGGAAAGCACCTTGTTTAGAAAGGTGCTATATAAATTAATTTTGCTTGCTTGCTTGCTTTTAGTATTAAGACTGGCAAAATGCCCCCTTTAAAACTGCATATACCACATTTTTCTTAATACCAAAATAGTTTAATACATTTGTAACATTATTTTGAATGGTAAAAAATAAAATGCAACCAAAAAAGTCATGACCTGTGTTTGTATTCCTGTAAATGATGAACTTAAGTGTTAGTGAAATTGTATTTTTCCCCACACATTATTTCTTCATTGCTCCTTAAATAAGTTGTTTAACATTTGGGTAATGGAGTAAAAGAACTGAGAGAGTTGTAGCAGATCGAGTATCTGGAAAGGAAATGAACTCAGTCCTGAAGGATTCCCTGACAAAGATGTCTGGTGGTTTAAATCTGTCTCAATTCTGTTAATTAAGACAGACATTTAGATTGTATTTGGTTTGGTCAGAGCCACATATGATACATTTACTAACTGATTCTCATGACATCTACCTCTTTGTTTATCTTTGTGACACATAGAACAAGTCCATATTACAATCATCCTTCATCCTGGTTTGCAGGCTTCAGTTTCATTTTTTCAGACGATGGTTTGCAGCTTTTCTTTTTCCTGCTTTTTGCCCTTCATGCTGATCTGCTTCTGCCTCAGTTTGTTCCCCTCAGGAAAGTGTTCCTCACACCGACACAAGGCCAGGTGCGGTTCATACTCATGCTCTCAGTGCTGTATAGACTAAAGGTGCATATAATGTGTGCATGAATGGTGTGTAATAAAACTGAGAGGAGACTGACACCTAGCTGTGGATATGAATAGTGCTTCAAAATGTATGAGGATATGCCCTCTACATCTCACAAATGTTTGATAAACAAGTGTTTCTCAGTATTATTTATAGATATCTCCTTCCTGTATTACTAATACCAGCGCTATTCATCATGAACTATTTTTAAGTGTTTTGACACTGCAAAGATGAGGACAAAGCCAGGAAAGATGTTTGGGAAGCAAACTGGCATAATGATATGCTGTTCCTAATTGTAAGAATCTTTTATGTTTGATAAATTGAAATGACAGTGCGGTTCTTATTATTCTCATATCTAATATGCATTAAAGTCTGGGAGGAAGCAGAAAATTTTGATTAAATATGTTACTGTCTTAGTGATAAAATAAGTCTGCCAAAGATTATTCATGACTACCAAGAACAGTATTTTAATAATTTAATGAAAACTATATTTTACCCCAGCCTTGTGATAGAGTGGCGACCTGTCCAGGGTGTACTCCGCCTCTCGCTCAACGCCAGCTGGGATTGGCTCCAGCCCCACACAACCCTATTCAGGAAAAAGCAGTATAGATAATGGATGGATTTTACTCCTTCATTTACTACACAAATATATATATTAGCATATAATGTAGAGGCAAAGTAATTAGGACACATGAGCATAAATGAATACATACTGTATAACACAAATTATTAACATAGCTTTTGTGTGTTTGTTTTCCTGCTGTGATGTAATTTGAAGCACTGAAATATTCTTTCAAATATGAACATCTGCTAAATAATTTGTATGTGCAGTGTGATGATATTATGACAATATGATAATAATCATGGAAAAGTATCAAATTACTATGATCCAATAGATGAATATCCAAAATGAAATGCAATTGTAACTCCATTTCCATTTTGCACACACAGAAACTTTTGAACAATTATTCAAATAATTCATTTAAAATAACTGATTGTGTAATAGTAGTACACGAACCAATGCAAAACTTAAACACTGTCAGTGTTTAAGTGACACTGACATCATATCCGGTATTTGACGGGTTGAATTTACAGTTTAATCGTCCACAGCACGAGGGGGCGCTAAAGAGAGTCGGTATTGTTTTGGCGCAAAGCGGAAGTCGTAATAACTTTCCGTCTTAAAAAAGTTTAATGTTGCTGTGGGGGCTGCTAGAGAGGTCAAGACATCGATAAAATGTGTTATTCGTGATTTATTTTAAATATATATTGTAACGTTCGCTTGGTTATTGGGTTAACACTGTAAGTATCTGCTTCAGAGTACACAGTCATTTAGAAGTCACGTAGGAATGTTTGTCATACTGTTAGCTAATACGACCAGATAAGCTAGATAGCAGCGTTGTTTTCCTGGAATCGTTTAATTAGAGTATTTTCCTAAATTGCCGACTCGTTTCTCGATTAACTTCTACCGTAAATGGATGAGCACAAGGAGAACATTCATGTCAAGGACGTCAATGTGAAGATGGCTAATACAAGAGAAGATGAGAAGGCTGATGTGAGTAGCAGGCTGAGGCTAACTTAGCTTCGCCTTTTGGTAACTTATCAATATCAATCTTATGCGTTGAGACCGTTGATTTCTCTAGAATACTGCAAACTAAACAAACTGTCTCAAATGTACAGGGCCCCACAGGTTTCCATAAAAATAAGTACTCTACTGTTATACCATACCGATATTTACCAATTTATTAGGTACGCTTAACTAAAACAAATGCACTGTCAGGC